CCAACACGTCCACCCCCCCTCAGCGGCAGCTGCAGCACAGGGAGACGGAGGAGGAGGAGGAGCAGGGAACAGTACACAGTGGGTGCACCCCCATACCCCGCACCCCCAAACCCTAATACAGGAGAATGGGGAGTAGGAGGGGTGGGGCACGAGTAGAAGCGCTGGGGGACAGTAGGGAGGGCAGGGGCAGCAAGGAGCGGGCCCACCACGGGCCTGGTAGGGTCGCCCGAACCGCGCGTAGGCGGCCTGAGCCGCGCGCGGGCCTGGCGCCGCCCGTACGGGCCGCGCGCGGGCCTGGCGCAGCCCGTACGGGTGGCGCGCGGGCCTGGCGCAGCCCGTACGGGTCGCGCGCGGGCCTGGCACAGCCCGTACGGGTCGCGCGCTGCCTGTACGGGCCGCGCGCAGGCCACGACGGGCGACGGGGGGCGACGAACGGGTCCCCGTCGCCCGTCGCGGTGCCTCCCGAGGGCGACGCGACGGTTGACGGGGCCGAAGCCCGCCGCGCGCCTCGGGGCGCACAGCGGGCAGAGAACCGCCGCGCGCCTCGGGGCGCACGGCGGGCAGAAAACCGCCGCGCGCCTCGGGGCGCACGGCGGGAAGAAAACCGCCGCGCGCCTCGGGGCGCACGGCGGGAAGAAAACTGCCACACGCCACGGGGCGTGCGGCACCGAGTGTAGTGGTAGGAGTTGCAGCGGAAGCTAGGAGGTGGTAAGCCCACCCACAGGATCGATCCAAGGGGATCGACCTGCTCTGATAGCATGTTTAAAGTTTAGAAGAAAGAAGAGCATTGCACTAGCAAGAATGAGGATACAAATAGCAAACCCTAGAAGGGTTGTACTCGCTATAGAGCACCCCACTATAGGCTAGAGCATAAGATAACATTCTGACACGTGCTACTAACCCGGCTGTTATCGAAGTACTGTTCAGGGGTGTGTCGGCGGAGATCTCCCCAGAAATGATCAGGAAGGCTTTGGTTGATGTTGCCTTGGAGAAGCGTGGCCGCAGTGCTTTTGCCAAAGGTCTGGCCTTCCACCGTGCGCAGAACCCGGTCAATGGGATGAACACGGACAAGGTTAAGGGGTTGGTGCTGTCGCACGAAGGGGATATGTACCGCTGGCGTCACACGGTGGAGGTTACTCCTGGGAGACATCTGCTGGTGCACTACCTGACTCTCACCTGTTCTTTCTGCAACGGTCAGCATGCGTCAAAGAACCACGACGCTTACGTGGCAGCTCGTCATGAGAACATCAGCAAGTGGAATCTCACGCTGCAGAGGATTCATGAGCTCAATGGAACAGACGCTGCCGCTTTCCATCTGTCCATCATTACCTTTTTCATCAACTTACCCTTTACGGATGCTGAAGCTGTGCGCTCGACACATAGCTGCCTCGTTGAAAGCTGCAGGTGCGGTCAAGAATATTCTTCTGGATCCCGCTATTGCGCTTATCTCAACGGGAGGGTCGAAGGAGACGTGGGTGTGTGTGCAGGCGGTTTGCGAGAAGGCACACGGTGCGACCTTCGCACAGGCGACCACCCATCTGGAGTCCTACAAGCATTTCTCGGGCCTGAACAAGGATGGCTCTGCAACACGCAACAGCAGGGGAGCGACAAATCTGTTGGCGATCAGGAAGGAGTTCGGTGTCTAAGTGTTACAGGACGTAGCGGTACCAGCAGCTGCAGTAGTGATGGTGTTGTGTTGTGCTGTTCCGGAGCTAGTTTCAGCGGCTCACCTGTATCAGTTGTTGCTTGTATCACCACAGCCCGTGGATGTGAAGGGGCTTCACAGCTGTTGATCAATGGGCAAGGCATATACCATAAATTTCTGCGGGTTCAACATCAACGGACTCGGCAGCCTGGAGAAACAAGAGAAATGCAAAAAATGGATGAGAGAAAAGACAGACGTGGCAGTTTTATCAGACACCAGGACTCAGGCGGACCATAACTTCTGGACACAACTAGGAGCAGCTAATGTAGCAGCCATTGGACCAGGACCAAGTGAACAAGCAGGAGGGGTTGCGGTTGTAAGCTTCGTACCGGGAATGTCATTCGTCAATACCTTCGCACATGACTCGGGAAGGCTCCTCGCGGTGGTGGCCCGCTGAGGAGGGATGGACATTTTGCTGTTGGCGGGGTATCTCCCAGCACAGGCGGTCAACAGGAGCAGTTTTTACAGAGACTGACTGGAGCCGTTCATTCAAACCTTGCCAGCAGTTCCAAATATCTTGGTGATGGGAGATCTGAATGTGGTGGAAGATCCGGACCTTGACCGCACTTCACAGTCGGGCTCGACAACGGAGAACCAAAGGCTTCTGGGCTGTTGGGGGAGTACATACTTGAGAGATGCCTTCCGCTACATGCATCCGGACAAGCGTGAATATACCTTCTTCGCGAAGTCGACCAGGACCAGCTTCAGGATTGACAGAGCACTGGTGTCATCACCCCTGTTGGGCAAGCTGGCAGAGGTTAAGCATGTGGGGATCACAAATGATATGACGGACCA